TCCCAGAATGCGCACCCAGCCTTTGTGGGCAATCCCATCTTGGTTTTGGCCTCGCAACCTCCCCAACAGGCACACCTTGATTTCAAAACACACAAGAGAGCATCCAACCCATCTCAAACCTCTCCCTCCCGCAGACATTTCAATCAACGGTGGAGGCAGAGACGTGTTTAATAAACATCTCTCTCTCTCAACGTTCTCCAGGCCCTCAGCTCCCAACATAAAACATTACGACGGGTCGGGAGATATCAGGGAGGCCTGCGGGTGATCCGAAATTACATTCAGAAGGGGCAGAGCTTCCCGCGTCTCCATTTACGATGGATTTTTAATTTAGACACAATTATCAAGGAGGGTATCTTTCCTTCTTTTCCCTTTTCTTCGTTGCCTAAGGAAGCTGTACCTGCCAGGCAACGGAAACCTCGATTTCCAGATGGGGAAAATACTGCAGGGAGGAAAATGTGTGTTTTGGACACATTTGGAGCGTTTTGGCTTAAAACCAACACGTCTTCCTTCGCCTTTTCCAAAAGACAGACACTTTGCCAACCGACGCGGTTCAACATTGGCATTTTCCCATTGCGAACCATGATTTCGGTCTGTAATAAATGTATAACCAATATATACCAGCGAACCAGTTGAGTCTTAGATACATGCTCTTGCTGGGAAAATGGTTTTAGGTCTCTTTCCATATACATCTCGTCCAAAGAGCAAACCTTCCTGAAGCGAGATGCAAAGCCATTGTAAAATGGAGGAAATTTGCTTTACGGAAACAACCGTCCATTCTACAAATACCAACTTCAAGAGTCTGAAGGCAATATTTCCAACATGGATTGGGTCCCATGGAAACCTACCAGGTTGATTTCCATGAAACTGACCCTCTCCCTCTATGTCGAGACACATTATTGGGGTTTTGTGGTTATTGCAAAGTCAGGAACCAAAACACAACCGCATCTTCCCCTTTTCCTTGCAGTATATCATTCCTGTAACTGAAGGACTGACAAAGGCCGCAAACCCTTCTTATAATGGTGCAAACAGTATGAATCGCCCCCAACGTGCAAATTTGCACGCTCTAAAAACGTAACACACCATGCACACATATATGAGTCCCAACGGGATAAATCGGCAGCATTCATTGGCTAGGAAGCTTGTTGGTCTAAGTAGTGAAAATCCATAAATTTGCCTCCATTTCTCTGCTCGTGGTTGCTCGCTTCTTATCTGTCTCAGGGCATATCATTAAAAATCATGATTACGACAACGACCACTTAATACGACTCATATTTCTGCAAATATCCAAGTGCTTCAGTGGGAGGGGTTAAAGACAGTGACCCAAATATTCTCCCTTTCTTAAGGGACACATTGGGCTTTTCAGGAAGGCAACGTAAAGGCTGCTTTCTAAACACAATTAGAAAGTCGAATGCAATGTGTATATATAAGCAACCAAATATCCCGAGGAAGCAAGTGTTGCCCTGCTGTTTTCCAAAATGATAAATAAATAAATCACATATCTGAAATATCATCGACTTCACGTTACAAAAAAAAAGCTTACACAAAAACGACGTTATTTGCAATTTTTATGTTGGTTGTTGTTGTTTTGTGTTGTTGTCTTTGCACTTTTTGTATAGTGTGCGTTTGCACCTTTGAGTGCGTTGTGAGCTGCTCCGAGTTCCTCCGGGAGATGGTGATGGGGTAGAAATAAAGTACTACTACTACTACTAATACTACAGTATTTGTGGTGTTTCCACTCCGAAAAGTGGGGTCCCACTGCAAAAGTGCATGGTCTATGTGGAATTGCAGGGGAATGAAATATGATTTGATAAACTGGGGGGAAATTCCGCAACACACAAAATGCATCTAATTCTACCAGGAAAGGTAGATACTTGAGCAAAGAGACTTGTAAAGTTAAAATATGTGATGACCCGAAACCTACCATTATTTTTGAGTTTCTTTTGGGTGGGGGTCCAAGCAGCCAGATTTGTCTGAAAGGATCAAGAGCCATCACAAATCCTCCCAGGACATTTGGGGCACCTAAATCTCCCAAAGCCTTTCTCGTAATGCAAGCCAAGTTGAAACCCACTCTGAAGTAGGCCCTCAACAACTTCCCTCCGTCTTCTCCCACACAGAGGTCCCCATTGAAAGAAGGGAGCAAACTCCCATTCCAGCCTCAGACATTTCACCCCACGAATGAAGCCCATCATTCATAATGGCCGGAAACGGGCCAAAGGGCTTGGCTGAAAGTCCCCCTTGGAGCTCTCTTTCTCTCTCTCTCTCGGCAAGAACGGAGGGGAAAAAACGATCTTCCATTGAGACATACAAAAAGATTGAGAAAGAATGGGGTTGCTACTTAGGAATGCTTGGAACCAGGCGGAGATGTTTTGTGCACGTTTCACACAGGCGGGACAGGGCCTTTGCACAACGGTTCACTAGTGCATTTCGCATACAAATTTCTCCCCCTTTGGGGTCGCAGGTTGGGGGGGAAAACCCCACTGCTCGCGATAACACAGTGACATTTTTTAAAATGGCGCGCACACCACAGAGTTGCCCCCCACAAGAGGATTCCTAACCCATTGCGGAAACTTTCGGGGAAAACAGAAGAGATCAGCGCAACTACAGAGAGAAAGAAATTTGACAGAACGAATATAATAATTGACCTATTTTTCACACCTTGGGACTGCGGGTGCCACCCACTCAACCCTCGCTAACAATACAGAAGGCGAGACAAAAACCAAAGGATTCTGGGCTTTAAATGGGGACAGATATGACAAATATATAAATATGGAGCAAATGTAAAGGCTATGCGCCATAAAAAGAGCCACAGTGGACAGAAGTGGGAACCCACACTTCTATGTCCCCCTTCTTTTTCTATTTGGAGTGGGTGATAGGGGGAGATAAAGAATTTTTCCCATTGATATCCCCCCATGACATACAAACCCGCCTCCGTATCTTTAGAGCAACATTCAAGCAAAAGTTTGTACTTTGGAGTACAGTCCCATCCATCATGAGTAATATTGTCCAACCACCTATCTGCAACTGCTTCATACTTTGGAAAGCTGTGATAAGAGTTCAAAAAGGAGAAGGAAACACACAGTTCTTAGGACTCTTTTCATCCTTTGAGATGAAAAAGAGGGATAGAAATAGGACAGAGAGGACAAGAGAGAGAGATAAGTTTCCTGAAGGACCACATAGTCCTTTATTTTTGTATCATACAATCAGGGGCATTTATCTCCAAGAGTTCACAAGGGATGGTGCATGAAGAAAGACGAAATGAAATCCAAGGAAACTTGGGACTTGCCTGAAACTTATGACTAGGTTGCAGGTCAGAGTGTATAAAGTCTGAAAACAACATAGAAAAGAGCTCTTTCTTCATCCAAAGAAGGTCTACCAAAATGGGGACCATACTTTGGACACCAGTGGCAGATATGTCTCCTTCTGGATGTCCAAAGCCACCCCAATGTTCCCCAGTTTGCAACTTGAAAGGCTCAAGTTATTTCTCCTGACCTAGAGGTCTGGTAGCAAGGCATGAGGTTGCCCACCAGCCAGTCGGAAAGCCCTACGGCGGGAGGAAGAAGGTCAACCTATTGCCTTCTCCATCCAGAATGGAGAAGAGAGACGGAGAGGAGGGAGGGAGACAGAGAGAGAGAGAGAGAGGCAAAGTGGTGTTTTAATTTGACAAGAAGCAAGTCCTTAAGTGACGCGTAATTGATTTTACAGTCTGCCGTGCTTTGGAAAATTGTCCGCGTTTTGTTCTCCTTGGCTGCACAGGCTTACAACTTCCTCGAATTGACTTCTAGATGAATGCATTTGATGCGTCTTATTTATTTATTTACCCATCTCTCTCCCTCTCTCTCTCTCTCTCTCTCTTTGCAAGGCTGTCTGATTCCCACTCAGGGAACCAGATGTAAGACAGGTGCTCAGGAAAAAAAACATATATATGGATACACACATATATTTAAAGCTATGCATACACACATATTGCTTATTCTTTCTCAGTGTAGAAAGAAAAAGGAAGAGAGAAATGTTGCTCCGTTACAACTTATAAACTTAGCCTTAAATTGGCCAATGTACATATGTAATTTCCCATCCGCTTGGAAGTGTTTACTATCTGACATTTTTGATGTTACTCAAACAAAAAGAATAAGTTTGTGTTGATGGTATTTCTAAGGAAGGAAGGAAGGAAGGAAGGAAGGAAGGAAGGAAGGAAGGAAGGAGCTAAACCATTCCAGTCTAGGTTTTTTTGCCCCATATGTTTTTTTTTGCCCCATATGTGTGTATTTATAGGTATACATATGTATGCGTGTGTATGGCAGTACCAGAGGGTACATTTGTGCAGTCCCACATCTGCTTGTTGCCAAGACGAAGAATAAACAGACAAAATGCAACTGACAAAGTGACGTAAAAAAGGAGAGACATGCAGACCTTGGATGGCATTTACCTGCTGGCCGTTTCCCAATCCCGAGTCAAACTTAGACAACCTGGACTTAGAAGCACTTTTCCAACAACAAGAACAACAACAATAATCTGACAGCTGCACTGAGCTATCTACAATATTTAACTACAATAATAATACAACCTCTAACAACAACAATAATAATAATAATCTGACAGCTGCAGCGATCCACAATATCTACCTACAATAATAACACAACATCTAACTACAATAATAATCTGACAGCCGCAGCGATCCACAATATCTACCTACAATAATAATACAACATCTAACTACAATAAAAATCAAACTGCAATAAAATTAATAAAAATAATCTGACACATGAGCCGCACCGAACTATCGCCTGTCCCCATCGCCTGCCTTGCACGGCGACGTAAATGACAACGCTGGTGTGGGATTTTGGGGACATCAAATCAAGTCAAGTGCCAGCCTGGAAAAGTCAAGACGGTCCCAATGCAAAGATAGAGAAGAGCCCAGTTTTGGCCTCTGCGAGGAGAACCAATGCCCCCCCCCCCAAATCCAGTTCTCGGCTTGAGAGGCCTGGACCTGTGGCCCACCTTACCTGGGGTTGCTCTTGTTCCAGTACACGGCGTAGCGGTCCGAAATGACTTTGCTGTTGTCCTCTGTCCAGACGCAGACCCCGACGAGGGTGACAAGCAAGGCAGCTACCTCCAATTGCGGCATCGTACCGGATTTCCGCCCCTTTTCTTTCCTTTCTCAGCTTGTTGTCGTCTTCTTCCGAGACGAGGCTCAAATTGTGCTGTTCTGCAAGCGAGCTTTGCTTTCCTTTAGGGAGAAGGGGTCCAGCTCATGCTTCTGTCCAAAGTTGTTCTCTTGTTTTTCCAACCAAAACAGTGCTTTCTTGCAAAACCCCAAAAACACAAGACATCCTTAATTCATACCTTTCCAAACTGACCCCAATGCGTTCGGGGCCTCTTTGCAAAACAACGGCAAAAGCATCCCAAGCGGGGTCAAGTCTATGGCAAAGGGTAGGTGGACTTCACATGTGTCCCGTAAGGAGAGAGTAACAGTGTGGGGATGTCCTTTTGTGGGGTTGTGTTGCTTTTTCAATCCCACATTAAGGGGAAAGTCCTCTGTTTTCGTCTCCAGATCCTCAGAGACAGAGAAGAGAAGTCATCAGTTTAATAATAATAATAATAATAATAATATTGGTAGTCCTTCAGTCCAATGGAAGAAAGATGCTCAGAAAACTGGGAGAAAGGGACGGCTTCTCACTCATTTCCAAAAGAGCCTTGTCTCTCATTCCACAAAACTCCTTGCAAAGAAATGGCATCAGGCGGCAAAGTTGGGCTTCTTCGTTCTGCTTCGCCGGGCTTCGGCCATGCCTCGCATCTCATTAAAAAAGGATATGTCCAATTTTTTTTTTAAATCCAATATATATATATATATATATATATATATATATATATAATAGAGAAGGAACTGATTTTAATTTTTTTTTTGTCCAGTCGATCAATGCAAAATAAAATTTCCAAAACAGATCAAGAAGAAGGAAAACTCCAAAACTGTCCAACAAAACTCAGTGTCCGTCCCAAGTTTGGCTCGAGGGAACAAAGCACCAAATTGCTCCTGTGTCAAAAGAAAAAGAAATGCACTTCCATCAAAAAAAGGGATTGAAAGCAAAAAATCAGAAATTAAAGATGGATTTATTTAGTTTTTGCAAAATCTAAGCCTTTCCTTCCAAAACCTTGTGTCCCAGACAATCACAACAGGTTTCTAACTCTTGACAAAGACAAGGCAAAGAAGCAGGAAAACCCACTTTTTTCCCCCTCCTCCTTTTTTCTCTCATTGACAAAAAAAAAGAAAGAAAAAGAAACATGCAATAAGCTCTCTTTTGCAACTGGGAAGAAAGAGGAGGGATCAGAGAAGAAACAGAGGCAATATTGCAAAGGGAAAAAAGGGAGGAAAGGGGAGGGGGCTGTCCCAAAAGCCATCCACATTCACACAGATTGCCCTCTCCACCCCCCTGTTAGGGCATGCATTTGCACTTTGAGATAGAGAATAGATAGATAGATATATAGATATAGATATATATTAAAAAAACATGCTTCCCACCTTTACATATATATTTTTCTCTTTTTTTTCCTGGTGCAGCAAACTGGGAAAAATGCAATTGGTTTCTGCAAAAGGGGGGAAAAAACCCTGCTACAGTTGCAAGAGAGACATTGTTGCCATTTGATCACTCACCCTAAACTAACCGCTGGCTCTTGCCTTCTCCCCTCCCGCGCCTCGCGAAAAGGGGCGTGGCCAACACAAGCCACGCCCATGCCGCCCACGCAAGGTTGGTTGGCCGGCGAGGTTTAGCCCCGCCTCCCTCCTGGTGGGAGGGGTTTCCTCCTGTAGTCCCTCAATTCAGCTCTATTGGGAAAGGGGAGAGGGGAGGAAAGAGGGGAGGAAAGGCCAGTGAATGAGTGGGAGCCCAGGAGAACATGCATTTTTTTCTCTCTCTTACTCATAGAATAGATAGATATAGATATATCTACATATAAGGAAAAGGAATTTATGTTCATCTCCAAAAAATATCTTGGCAATATATATATATGGATATAATATATAATATGTATAATATATACACTATATAGAATATAATATAATATTATATTATACATCTATCATAGAATCATCCAGTCCAACCCCCTGCCAAGAAGCAGGAATATTGCATTCAAATCACCCCTGACAGATGGCCATCCAGCCTCTGTTTAAAAGCTTCCAAAGAAGGAGCCTCCACCACACTCCGGGGCAGAGAGTTCCACTGCTGAACGGCTCTCACAGTCAGGAAGTTCTTCCTCATGTTCAGATGGAATCTCCTTTCTTGTAGTTTGAAGCCATTGTTCCGCGTCCTAGTCTCCAAGGAAGCAGAAAACAAGCTTGCTCCCTCCTCCCTGTGGCTTCCTCTCACATATTTATACATGGCTGTCATATCTCCTCTCAGCCTTCTCTTCTTCAGGCTAAACATGCCCAGCTCCTTAAGCCGCTCCTCATAGGGCTTGTTCTCCAGACCCTTGATCATTTTAGTCGCCCTCCTCTGGACACATTCCAGCTTGTCAATATCTCTCTTGAATTGTGGTGCCCAGAATTGGACACAATATTCCAGGTGTGGTCTAACCAAAGCAGAATAGAGGGGTAGCATTACTTCCCTAAATCTAGACACTATGCTCCTATTGATGCAGGCCAAAATCCCATTGGCTTTTTTTGCCGCCACATCACATTGTTGGCTCATGTTTAACTTGTTGTCCACGAGGACTCCAAGATCTTTTCATTTTTTCTGCCAAAGTGGAGTATCTTGCATTTGTCACTGTTGAACTTCATTTTGTTAGTTTTGGCCCATCTCTCTAATCTGTCAAGATCGATTTGGAATCCTGCTCCTGTCCTCTGGAGTATTGGCTATCCCTCCCAATTTGGTGTCGTCTGCAAACTTGATGATCCTGCCTTCTAACCCTTCATCTAAGTCATTAATAAAGATGTTGAACAGGACCGGGCCCAGGACGGCCCTGCTTGTGGCACTCCGCTCGTCACTTCTTTCCAGGATGAAGAGGAAGCATTGGTGAGCACCCTCTGGGTTCGTCCATTTAACCAATTCCAGATCCAAGGCGTACGGCAAGGCTGCATAGCCTCACCCAACCTTTTTAACTTGTATGCAGAACACATCATGCGATGTGCGGGGCTTGATGAATGCAAAGCTGGGGTGAAAATTGCTGGAAGAAACATTAACAACCTCAGATATGCAGATGACACCACTCTGATGGCCGAAAGCGAGGAGAAGCTGAGGAGCCTTCTAATCAAGGTGAAAGAAGAAAGCGCAAAAGCTGGGTTGCAGCTAAACATCAAAAAAACCAAGATTATGGCAACAAGAATGATTGACAACTGGAAAATAGAGGGAGAAAATGTGGAGGCCGTGACAGACTTTGTATTTCTAGTGCAAAGATTACTGCAGATGCAGACTGTGGCCAGGAAATCAGAAGACGCTTACTTCTTGGGAGGAGAGCAATGTCCAATCTCGATAAAATAGTAAAGAGTAGAGACATCACACTGGCAACAAAGATCCGCCTAGTCAAAGCCATGGTATTCCCTGTAGTAACCTACGGATGTGAGAGCTGGACCTTAGGGAAGGCTGAGCGAAGGAAGATCGATGCTTTTGAGCTGTGGTGTTGGAGGAAAGTGCTGAGAGTGCCTTGGACTGCGAGAAGATCCAACCAATTTAACATATATTTATTATAATATTGCATAATATAATATTATATATTATGTAACATATAATAGAATATATAATACTAGCCGTCCCCAGCTACGCGTTGCTGTGGCCCACATGGGGGTTCTGCGTGGGAGGCTTGGCCCAATTCTATCATTGATGGGGTTCAGAATGTTCTGTGATTGTAGGTGAACTATAAATCCCAGCAACTACAACTCCCAAATGTCAAGATTCTATTTTCCCCAAACTCCACCAGTGTTCACATTTGGGCATATTGAGTATTCGTGTAGTTTAGTCCAGATCCATCATTGTTTGAGTCCACAGTGATCTCTGGATGTAGGTGAACTACAACTCCAAAATCAAAGGATACTTCCCACCAAACCCAGTATTTTCTGTTGGTCATGGGAGAACTGTGTGCCAAGTTTGGTTCAATTTCATCGTTGGTGGGGTTCAGAATGCTCTTTGATTGTAGGTGAGCTATAAATCCCAGCACCTACAACTCCCAAATGACAAAAATCAATTTTTTTAGTGAAGGACATACATTGGCCTGATAGGTGTCTTGTGTCCAAATCTGGTGTCAATTCATCCAGTGGTTTTTGAGTTCTGTTAATCCCACAAACGAACATTACATTTTTATTTATATAGATTTGTGGCATGTGTCAGTATGTGGATTGTGCTTTGAATGTAAATTTCCTATCTCTTGGCAGAGGGTTGGACTGGATGGCCCATTAGGTCTCCTCCAACTCTATGATTCTATGATTCTATAGTATACAATATTGATATGTTTTATAATATATATATATATATATATATGTATGTAATATTATATAATATTATATGGCCCAAGTTATTTGAAAACATCAGTTTTTAATTGTCCAAAATGCATAAGGTTGTGAATGAACTACAACTCACATCATGCCAGATTAACCCCCAGAAACTCCATCAGGACTTAAAGTTTGTTATGTTGGACAAGTTTGCTCTAGATGCATCATCTAGGGTAAACTACAACTCCCACTATGATGAGTCAATCCCCTCAAACTCTTCCAGTAGTCTGAGTTAATCATGGGGATTCTGTGATGGTCCAGGTCCATCATCGGTGGAGGTCACTGTTTCTCTGGTTGTGGGTGAACTACAACTCCCAGAAAGGAAGGTCAGTTCCCCCCAAACCCCTCCAGTAATCAAATTTTGGCATATCAGATATGTGTTCCTAGTTTGGTCTAGATCCCTCGGTGCCTGGGTTCACAGTGCTCTCTGGATGTAGGTGAACTACAACTCCCCCAAATCAAGGTGAATTTCCCCCAAAGACCTCCAGGATTTTTTTCTGGTCATGGGGGCTCTGTGTGTCAAGTTTGGTCCATCTCCATCTCTGCTGGAGTTCAGAGAGCTCATTGATTGCAGGTGAACTATAAATCACAGTACCTACAAAATATCCAGGCCAATTCCCCTCAAGATCCACCAGTATTCATATTTGGGCGTATTGGATATGCATACCAAGTTTGGTCCAGATCCATTCTTGTTTGGGTTCATAGTGTGCTCTGGGTGTAGGTGAACTACAACTCCTATAAATCCCTCCAAAGACCTCCAGTATTTTTTTGCTGGTCATGGGGTTTCTGTGTGCCAAGTTAGTACCAGGTCCAGTATTGGTGGAGTTCAGAGTGCTCATTGATTGCAGATGAACTGTACATCCCAGTACCTACAACTTCTATAAATCATGGTAAACTTTCTCTAAACCTCTCTAGTGTGTTCAGTTGCTGATCAATTCTTCTGCTGTGTGCCATAGAAAAGAACAGGAAAGGGTTAAGGGAGAGACAGTGGGCGGGATCATGCAAATTCCACACCAATGGAGAGAGTCAGAAACACTGCGATGACTGTGGTGGAGGAAATATAAAATCTAGGATGAAATTGTACCTGTATGAAAGCCTTCACTTGGCTGGTGGGCAGTGTAGTGTTTGTGGAGAACATTAGCAGGGCTCTTGGACTTGTTTACATTGCTCACTATAACCTGCAATGTCTTTGGAGGGAGGGCCATTGGTGTCATCTAAGTAGTGGGAGCTATAGCTGTTTGTGGAAGTGGGAGCCTGTCTGTGTAAGTGGACACCCCAGCCACACACACACATATTTTCATTTTTATTATGTGTATAGATATATGTATATACTAGCTGTATCCGCCATGTGTTACTATGGCCAACCTTCC